AGGAGTGTGAGTGAGAGTTACCTAGAGGAGCATGGAGGACTCAGATAGGCGAGGATGAGAAGTCCACCCAGTAGGCACCACACGCTCACTACCCAAGTCTCTTCTTCCCAGCTGTTGACTGCTGATTCCCTGTCTCTCGGGAAGGCAGTGATTTCCTGAGCCTTTCCCTTCTCTCCATACGAGAACAGGGCCAACCTTCTGAGGGCTTCCTGGGAGTGATATCAGATGCTCTAGCAACGATGATGGCCAGTCAGGAAGAAACGTAAAGAAACCTCAGAGGTACACAGTCCTGTAACAGGTGTAGCTCAGGCGCTGTACCATGTTTTCTTTATCTTAAGGTGAGAGTAGCTATAGACCTTGGTGCTGTCAAGCTGAAATGGGATCACATGCCATTTTAGGGTGTAGCTGATGTAGTCCCTGGCAGTCAGCTCTGACATGTCTAGTGTAAACTCTCAGAGGCCAACTTAACAGCTGATTTAGTAGCCACAAAATGATAACATTCCTTTGCCTCAGTTTCTCTATCTGCAAAATGGTGATAAGAATGAGAGCAGTTACCCGAGGGCATGCCGGTGATTACACAAGTTAAAATGCCACCAAGGATGAGGAGCTGTGCTCAGCGCAGGGACTTGCTGCCTCTTGTCAGCGGCCATGATTTACTATTAACATAGACTAAATAGAGATGATGGGGCCTGGGGAGATGGCCCAGTGGTTAAGAGCACTTGCTTCTCTCACAGAGGGCTGCAGTTTGGTTCCCACCACCCGTGTGGGGCAGCTTACCATGGACTGTAACTCCAGCTTCAGGAGATGAGGTGCCCTCTTCTAACCTCTATGGACATCTGGACACGGCTCCCCCACCCCCATGTACTAAATCTTTATTAAAGAAAAGAGTCTAGTGTGTTCATTTCTCTTTGCCTCCATAAAAAGTCACTGTAGTTTTGTGGCTTGAAGCATTGTAAGTTTACCACCTTACACTTCCAGATGTCCAACTCTGAACTGATCCCGTGATGCCATCTGAATACACCAGAGAAGGACCTCTTTCCATCTTCTAGAGGCAGCTGGTAAAGCTTGACTCTATTCCCAGGATGTCTTTGTAAGCAGAAGCCGCCATCACTCTGAACCTTGACACAAACTGTAGCAGCATGCCTAGACAGGACCCTCAGCCCTGGACCCTCACCACATGCCTATGCTCCAGGTTCCATCTTTAGAAACACAAGGTATGTCAGAGGTCAAGATTAGCTCACAATCCATCAAAGGTGAGGTCTTCTTGACTATAACAACAGCAAAATTCCCTAGGATGGCAAATTCAGCCCAAAGAAACAGTGCTCAGGATGCATAGGAATGGATGTAGTTGGAAGTCTCCACTCACATTGAAATGACTAAGGTAATGGCGATATCATGTCATGATATAGATATGATAGGATGAAAGGGTAGATTATTGAATCTACTTTTAAAGAACAACTACTTGTTTAAAATGTTTTACATTGCTATGGATTTTAGTTTATTGATACAAATTTAAAGTTAATTTTGTTATACTTTATGTATATTTCTACTCTTGTTTAAGGTATTATGTTTGTGCAGCTCATTTAAAATTGTAATGTATAATTAAGAAATACAGATTAAAAATTAGTCATCTATGATGATCAAACATAGTCATGTTAGTTTTCTAGGTATACATAAATATATTTCAATTAGGTAGGTAATCTTCAAATACTTCAAAGATTTACAGAATATGGTATTTAAAATGTTTTAAAAATTTAAACTTTTCTGGACAAAGAGACACGTCTACTCCTGGCAGCATTAATTACTTCAAGGAGGATGATGGGCATTGAATAAACTCATTATAGAGTTTGCTTTCTTTCTGGCAAAAGTTAGCCACTGGGCAAAAAAGTGCCCTTGTGTCAACTGATTGACAGTATGTTGTATAAACTGGACATGCAGGACCCACAGGAAGGTGACCACTGAACTTTGCAAGCCAAGATGGTCCTTTAGGTTCCTGCTTCACAGAAGAAACTGCCAGACATTCTACAGGACACAGAGAGAAGCAACTGAGAGACTCTAGGCCTGTGGACTGAAGATGGATTCTCCAATGTTGCAGAAGAACTTTGGGTAACTGTCCAGGTAGCCAGCTGTCTCTGTCATTCTAGATTTGGAAGTTGCTTACAATGCATTTCCTGTTTACTTAGGTAATATTATATCCTTCTGGGGTCTTTGATGTAGTTGAAGAGTAGATAGTTATAATTTTCCTTGGTTATAATAAAAGATAAATTAGATATGAAACTTTAGACTCACAAATATAGGCTAGATGATAGAATACAAATTGACTAGATATTATAACTGTAATTTTTCTTGATAACTGTTCTATTATATGTAATTTTACTATATTAAAGTTAAAACCTTCCTTTTTGATTAGACAGAAAAGGGGAAATGCTGTGTGATAATGCCCTTGTACACTGGTTTAATAAAACACTGATTGGCCAGTAGCCAGGCAGGAAGTATAGGTGGAGCAAGCAGACAAGGAGAATTCTGGGAAGAGGAAAGGCTAAGTAAAGAGTCGCCAGCCAGATACAGAGGAAGCAAGATGACAGGGCAGAACTGAGAAAAAGTACTAAACCACATGCTAAATATAGATAAGAATTATGGGTTAATTTAAGTGTAAGTGCTAGTCAGTAATAAGCCTGAGCTAGTGGCCAAGCAGTTATAATTAATATACACTCACTTCTGAGTACTTATTTTATAAGTGGGCCATGGGACTATGGGAGCCTGGTGGGACCAGAGAAACCTTCTGACTACAATGTTGTAACTTTCTTTTGTGCCTGCCTGGTCACTTCTTAGCCATCTACCCCCAAATAGCCACATTTGCCTTGACAACACTTTTGAGACTGTCTGTGACCTTGACCATAGTCCAAGTATATCATGTAGTATGTGAGTAGTAGTATATCATGTATATCACACCAAGTATATCATAACAAGTAGTAGTATATCATGTATATCACACCAAGTATATCATATATATATCAAGTATAACATTCTAAGTATGTCATGTAGTAACATGTAGTAGCTGAGCTTTACAAAGCAGATGTTACTGGGCTACCCCAAATCCCTCACTAACATAACCTACCCTCCTTAAACACTGATGTAATTGTGGATTTATCTTTTAAAATGCTGTACTCCTGAGGTCAGGAAAGAAGAGACTCTTTGGAGGCACACACCCACTCTTGGTCTGGCCATTAATAAAAGGACTAGAAACTTGAATCAGTGTGGTTGTCAAAACTACCTTGAGTGGGTCATTTCTCTATCCCTTACAGTTACTCACTGCCCCAGCTTCCTGTCTCTCTGTCACTTGACGTAGGTTGACAACAGCAGAAAGACCCACAAGAAGCAAGACTGACAGACCAGGGACCGGTGGAAGACAGCACAGTCTAAACAGAGGACGTTGAAAGTTTTCTTTTCATTCTCTTTGGGGGGAATTATTATTTTAGTTTATTTAATTGTTTAGAGACAGAGCCTCATGTGGTCCAGGCTCTCCTCTAACTCCCTAAGTAACCAAGGTTGGCTTTGAAGTCCTGATTCTTTTGCCTCCATCTCCCAAGTGATAGGATTGCTGGTGTGAGCCACCAGGTCAACCTCCTTTTAGGAATTTAAATCAAATCTCACCAGTCTGTCTTTGTAATCACCTGAGGTCTGGGAGAGGGGGCATGAAGCCCAGGACTCTTCAGCCCTTCTGGGTTGTTTCTGGTCAGATCCACGGTGCTGCAGGCCAGGGCTTGGGTCCTGGGGCCCATTTTGTGAGTTTCTGAGATTTTTCTTCTCTCTGATGGTGTTCACTCTCATAATCGCTTTAAGTAAATTGTCCTGTGGAGTGTTTCCTTCCCCAGGCATCAAGTGTAGGGTGTCAAGTTTTTCTTTTGTGACAGCCCACGATGCCATTACATTTTCTTAAGTCATGGAATTCCATGGTGAAAATTTCAGAGACTCAGCTGGAGTGACGGGCTAAGAACAATATGGGTGGAAAAAAGTATAACTGTCGGATTTTTCCTTTCTTTCCTCTCCAACTCATTTTCAGTAAATGGAGGCTGGAGGCTGGACTCTGGAGGGAGGATGTCAGCGTGTAGGCTTCTACTTGAAAACTGCCCTGGGGAGAAAGAGACCTTCAATTACTTGGTAAAGAAGGGAGACTGCTGGGTCAAGGTACACGTCAGACTTCTTAAAGAAAGTCACTGGAGAAAACTTGTTATTATTGTCAAGTAAAAGCTTATCAAACACCATGGGGAAATGGCAGCTCTCCACCTGACTGACTTCTCTCCTGTCACCAACGTGGGGAAGAAGCTGGATGTTCAGTGGATTCTTTGAAAGCAAGAAAGATGATCTGAAGCAGGTGTGAGTTGTTGGGTCAGCTACACACGTTTACTGAGACAGTCAGGTGTGCTTTATGTAGATATGATCATTTGTTTCCTTTCTCCCACATGTTGTTAGACATTGAATGCTGATAAACAATGTGGAGATCACATAGCTATTACTTTACATGATAATTATGTGATGCGTGCATCCCAGAGGAGGTCAGTCATATGACTCCATAAACCCCCTCTTTCAATTTGGATATGGGACAATGGAGATCTGGCTCAGAGGTTGAGAGTACTTGCTACTCTTGCAGAGGACCCAGATTCAATTCCCAGCACCCACATCATGGCTCACAGTCTTCTGTAACTCCAGTTCCAGGAGATCCAATAGACACACAGGTGTGCACATAAGACATGCAAGCAAACCATTCATACACATAAAGTAAAATAAATAAATCTGAAAAGTAGGAGCCCATATCTTGAACAATAATCTATACTAACTCTTCAAATTAAACGAATAAGCACCGCAGTAAACATTCTTGGTGCCCTGTATGTTCAAGACTACTTTGGTTTGGCAGTAGCATTCTGTTTTAAGGATGCATTGTGGATTTGACAGACAGCGGATGAAGAGAGAAGAATGAGAGATTCAGACAGCTCTTCTACTACCTTAGACAACATCAAGTCTGCAGCAGGCTTTCCTTTTCTTTGAGGCCACCAACCAGCTCCCAAATCATGACATGGAGACTTTTTAGTTATGAATACTGGGCCTTGGTTATGCTCATTTCTGCCTAGCTTTTTTCTTTAACTTAAATCTGTTTCTCTTCATTTACATTTTGCCTCGGGGCTTTTTGCCTTTCTTTCTGTGTCTGCTGGATGGTAGCTGCCTGGCTGGCCCTGGCGCCTCCCTTCTTCTTCTCTCGTTCTTTCTGAGCCTAGATCTCTCCTCTTATTTATTCTCTCTGCCTGGGAGCCCTGCCCATCCTTTCTCTGTCTAGCTATTGACCGTTCAGCTCTTTATTAGAACAATCAGGTGCCTTAGGCAGGCAAGGTGAAACAGACGCAACACATCTTTACATAAATAAACAAAGGAAGCAGAAACAAATATAACACACCCTTACATCTTTAAACAAACACAACAGAAACAAATGTAACACATCTTAGTTATATAGGTAAAATAATATACCATAACAGGTCTAAATATTTCATTTCATAGAAGGAAAGTGAAACTGCGTGCAGAGAGATTAGGAGACACACATATTTGCCCGGGTATGGACTGCAGCCCACACTCTTCCCGTTCTCAAAATTTTACTCTTTTCATTGCTATTCAGACAAGAGTTTGTGGGTTATTTTAGGTCTAGAATGTTTCAGGAAGGGTGTGTGTGTGTGTGTGTGTGTGTGTGTGTGTGTGTGTGTGTGTGTAGCAGAGATGGGTGGCTTTGAGTTGGAGCATGGAAGCAGCAAGAAGGCCAAAGAGAGGTTAACGGCTACCATTAACGCCTCCCCCAGCCAGGGCAGCCTGTTTCTGCCCCTCCTTTGTCTCTTTCTGCCCTAACCCAGTGACCCCAGCATTTCATGTCTCAGTGAACAGCTCACCTTCTCAGGCCCTCAGCCTTGGTGGCCTCCCTGATCCCTGTACTCAGGACACACACCCAGACCAACACCAGATCCTGGTGATTTTACAACCTAGTTACGTCCCTGCTCTTCTATCTGGCTGTCCCTGCAGTCACAGACCCGACTCAAGTTGCCAACACCCACCACTGACACCTCCTTTACAGGCTCCTAATAGGTGTTTTTGTGACCCAGTTTTGTCGCCTGAACCCATCTTTAGAGTCAGAGTGACTGAAAAATGCTGCTCTGAATGTGAAATGTCCCGCAGGCCCATGTGTCTGAACAGATAATGGAGCTATCTTGGGAGAGTTGTGGGACTTTGGGGGATGTGGGGTCTCCAGAGGAGGTGGGGTGAGCACGCGCGCGCGCGCGCACACACACACACACACACACACACACACACACACACACACACACACACACATACACGAGGAAAAAGAAAGAAAGAGAGCTAATACAGCAGTGTTGGCTTGTTGGAAGAGAGAGAAAGGAGCTGTCCAGGAGACGAGGTGGAGGCGCAGCTCCCGAGGCGAAAAGAAAGCACTAGAATTCCAAGTTTCTACCTCAGACACTGGAGGCAGGTCATGCCCAAACACACGAAATGGCCATGGGAACAGCTGGCTGTGAGCGTGGCATTTTGGCCACTCCAGGTCTATCCCAGAGAGTGCTCTAACTTTCCCTATGAGACCTTAAGGAAGACTTTTATTTTCTCCTGGGATAAGGGCCAGATAGCTTTGAATCTTAGAATAATTTATTATGAAAATAAAGACCAGTGGGCATCGGTGTGTCCCAGAGCGGTTAAGGCCAGGCCAGCTCTCCCTGCTGGCTCCATCAGCCCTGGGGCACAGCCCTGACTCACCAAGGGAAGTGGCTCTCAAGCAGCGATGAGCTCAACTTTTGTGAGAAGCCCCGGCCAGAGACGGCTCAGGACATAGCGAAGAGTCCAGGGTGGTGGCTCCGACCTGCAGTTTCAGTACTTAAGTGGCTGAGGCAGAAGGATGGCTCTGAATTCCCGGCCAACCTGGGCTACCTAGTGAGTTAGGTCGTGCACTACAAAGCCGAGACCGTATCTCAAAGACACAAAAGAAGAAGGAAAAAATAGAAAAGATATACTTCCTTCTAACTGTTGTAGAGTGCTAGGCTCTCCTCTGACCCTTGTGACCTGGGACTCTCAGCCCTGCCAGAAGAGCAGGAGGTGAAAGGTCCATGATTCAATGGGAGCTCCACCTCTTTACATGGCAGTGAATCACGGAATCGGAATGCCCCAGAACTGCACAGCCAGAGGACTCAGATGTCACCGATCCACAGTCACTTCACAGAAGAGTAGGCAGACGCTCAAAAGGATGGGTGTCAGTCACCACAGAACTAGCTAGTTCCTGAGGCAACCTCAGAGGCTGCATGGCTCATCACACAGGACTGTTTCTGTGTCAGGAGCCATTACTGATCAGTCCCCTCTGCTGTAACGTCAATGTGTTCTTCGGCGACGTTAGGCATTGCATTTTGTGTGTAAGCACACAGCATAGTCAGGGCTGTCTTGTTAAAACCGTGCAACAAACCCGGAGTCCCAAAGCTTCATTCTGGTCCCAGCGTGAGTTTGGCTGGGATGACGAATGTTCTTGCGCATTTTCAGAAAGAGAGGAAGTGAATTCAGGGAGATGAGGAAGGCAGGCGTGGAACTGCTCTCCCTGGTGTCTGCCAAGTGTTCTGTACTCCTAGGAATCTGCCCAGCCTACTCCAGAAAGGTTGTCCAAGAAACTGGACAGTTTCTCTAGTGCCAGGATAATCCAATTCATCTTGAAAAATCATAGTGTAATCACTGAACGTACAGAGTCTGGTAATACATGGGTTAGCCCCCAAAAGCTTCACATCCAGAGAAGGTAGACAGATGCAGAAGTCACTGGCCAGTGTCAGAGTTGAAGCAATGAATCATTTGTAAGCAGAGCAGGTGGAGAACTAGGCCCATGAAGAGGAGGGAAATTGAGGCAGGTTTGAGTTATACCTTCAAAAAATGGACACTGTCAGGGATGGAATGATGTCTCAGCAATTAAGAGCACTGGCTGCTCTTTCAGAAGACCTGGCTCAATTTCCAGCACCCACATGGGGCTTCATAAGCACCTGTAAGTCCAATTCCAGGAGTCTGACGCCCTCTTCTGGCCTCTGCAGGCACCAGGCTCGCACAAGTCGCATAGATTCACATGCAGGCAAAACACACGTACCATAAAACAATACCATAAAAGTAAGTGTGTTTTTCCAAGATGGGCACTGTTTCAAGAGGTAGAAAGAGGCCCTTTAAACCAGAGACACGCATCGGCAAACGCTGTAGGGGATGAACATGTTGTAACTGGGCTCACGGGTGGAAGGTTCGAGGGAACACAGCAACCTGTCTGCTGGAGCCACGGTGGCAGAAGAGCAAGGCGAAGTACCCACGCATATAAAATAATAATAATAATAATAATAATGCCGGGCGTTGGTGGCGCACGCCTTTAATCCCAGCACTCGGGAGGCGGAGGCAGGCAGATCTCTGTGAGTTCGAGGCCAGCCTGGGCTAC